ATCAGATGAGCCAAACCGACCGTTGGAATAACATTGGGCTAACCGATGACAATTCGACCCGATCGCGAATTCATAGTTTTTGCTTTGAAAAACAATTGCCCACGAACACCTCATTACACGAAGAACCTTAGCCACTTTTCCAACTGAACGATAATTTCGGTTTCATATATTCCCGGAAAAGTATTTCAGGTTCTCCATGCAATAAGGTCTTTGTATGCAAGGAATGTTTCCATATGAAAACGATGAAAATATAACAAATCGAAACAACTAATAATAAAGCATTTGTTTTGTAAATTTACTTGCAATATATGAATTTCGTGTTCAGCTAGGTGTACAGTTACGGCACTGAAGCCGCCGTTGAGGGTGCAGGTCTTCACGTTCAATACGCCAGCACACAGTCCCTCAACAAGAAACTGTGTTGATGGACTGTGGCCAGCATAAACATGCGCGTGAATGAAGAAGAGATTGATAGTTTATACTTTGACTTAGACAAATAGACTTTGTTTTTATCACGTTTATGCACACATTAGCTGATGGAGATAAGTTCTTACAAGGCCATTCATTATGTTATCGTTGCTGACGTTTGTCGACCTTCGATCTGATTGCTGTCACATTGGTTGTCTCACAACATACAAGTGTAACCCAAAGTTTACAATCAGAGGTCATAACAGGATGTGCATATATTCAGCGAGTCGTTTGTCAATAACACGCGGACCACGTGTATCCATTTTTGCGTGTTTTTTGTGTGATCTGCGTGAGTGGTTATTGTAAACAGCCCACATGATGAGTACACAAGTGGGAGGGTCGTCACCTGCGCACGCGCGGGAATTGATTCCCAAACGATGACAACAACACACGCTTAAAAACGCAAAGGCTCATGGGTAGACTATTGTTTGTTAACAATGACGCATGCGCAGGAGACGACTCCCCGCTTCAAGTGACGAAAACTTGTGACAACGCACGGTATAATGTGAAGGCTCATGGGTTGACGCCATTTTGTAAACAGCGATACGCTTTGGTCGTCTGCTGCTTAAGTTGTACGTTAACCATCACTATAATTGATAAGGTGACTAGCTAGAAGCAACAAGACAATTTTAGTATTATCTACACTTATTTGAAAAATACTTACATGAAAAAGTTCACTTAACTTTAAAGAGCGCACTAAGCTTTGAAATAAGTACACGTAGCTTAATGGAAGATACACTTAAAGTACACTTGGCTTAATAAGTATACACTTAGCTACTAATTTCCTTTTTAGTGCCATCATGGGCCTATTGAGTGAATTACATTGTATGCAGTACTCTGAGATCAATATAATCTTCAATAAGTGTTTATGTTACGCTAATTCCTATATATGTTGGACTTTTACTTTCAACTGCTATCGTGGCCATCATGATTAAAAAAATAATCAGAAATCCTCAAATCCAGCAAGAAAAGTTCAAGTTGGGTCACTGAAATGTTCAAAATTCTGAAACAAAAATATATGGTCACCGAAGTTTTCTACAAATCGACCCCGAAAATTGATCACAAATGCGTTTTCTTGAATAGTTTACAATTGGTTCCTATGGCAAAAACATTGCAGCATATCTCAACATTTTGTCCGGCGACCTATGCTGAAACAATTATACTAGTATGTAGTTTTATGAGGGCTACGTAGGACTTCCACGAAATTGATATTATTCATTGAATAATGTTTTTACATGGAATCCTATTGAAATTGTTCCAAAATGGCCTCCGTAAAAACGTTAAAGCGGGAGGGTCGTCAAGCGACGACAACAACACACACTGAAAACGCAAAGGCTCATGGGTAGACGCTTGTTTGTAAACAATGACACGCTATGGCCATCTGACGCATGCGCGGGTGATGACTCTCCCGCTTTAGATATGAGCGACGTACATGAAAGGGACAACATCAAAAGTTCAATGTAGGATAAAAAAAACTTAATTCCTCTAGTTTTTTCCCAAACCCCCACCCCCACTGAAACGTAATTGATAAATACTGATCATGGCGTCAGACTACATTCACCATTAAATACAAATTGATAATCGGACAGTAGTATTGCAGAGCAGTTGGTTGTAATAATGAAGCGGAATATACGCATACGTTTCAGGGTTCTGCGCATGCTCTAGGTCCATGACCTGAAATTGACGCACATATTTACACTCGGACCAAACCATTTTCTCGTCTTGGGTGTGTGTTTCTTTCGTTTCTGTTATTTTTGTCCATGATTGGATAGAAAAAAAAAACTACAAATATTCCAAGATTTGTTTGACTTCATTAATAAATAAAAATCGTTTTTTGTAGGATGTAAACTTGTTGAGGTCAAACACACCCACCCGCCCCAAACTAAAGCAAATAAGTCTTTTGACGTCATTCCTGAGTGAGTCATCACCCAACAATTTTGTTCATGTTTTAATAGTACCGAACTACCTCAATGTATGCGATTCACCAAACAAAATTACAAATTATATCATATATTTGTTTTCAAACGCGTGTAAGAAAAACAAATATATAAAGCATTCAAAATTATCTGTTTTGCTAACAATTGTTATTTCATGCAACGGGTGTTAAAAACAAAGGTTGAACAAACGTCCGGCACAGAGGCCGCTGTTTTGGAGCAATATATAAACCAGTTACAGTGAGTTACAGATCGCTGGTACCGCAGTGTCGGGTTTCATATTCTGTAGATCCCAGGTGGAAACTGGGATTGAAAAAATAAATTTAGAATCGATTTCCATCCTGAGATAGTATCACATAGACTTCAATGAGAAGGCCAAATGTATTATACTTTGAGAGTAACGTTGGTTAAAGAACGGTGATTGTCGCGCCGCGCATGTGCGACATTTGTGTTGATAAACATTTATTTGCCCACAATCCAATGCGCTCTTCTAATAAAAATCATGAGTACGTGTTTTGACCAAGGCGCAACGTGCACTAATTACCGCCGATAACTCCTTTGATACCTTCCAATCACCAAAGAAGTTATATAGTTAAAGCTTAGCAACGTATCAGTTTGTACTCATTGGTTTGCGCCACAGTCAGAGTCGCCATATTTTTTCATATAAGTCCCATATCTCGCACATGCGCGGCGCGACGGCCACGGCCTTTAAGCACCAACACACAATATTTATTTGCTCTTAAATATGCCAATGAAATAATTTAATATGAAACAATTCGACACAGAAGTGTTACGGTTTGTTTAATATGAACACAAGTTATTGCAGTTGATCAACCAATAAAGCACTCGTAAATGCATATTTAATAATTTACTCTTTATTCAAAATATTCCCATCTTTCATACAATGAGCTCTTTGGCATTACAATATAGAAAACTTTGTTTGTAAATATTTATTCGCAGTATAGGACGGAATTAACTGTAAACAGTCGGAATGTAGGGAAATACAAATAATCGCCCTTTTAAAAATTGTGGCTTTTGGAAACATTATATAGTTCTTAGTCTGTGACAACGCAGGGGTAGACGGGAGTAAAGGTCAACTCCCCCATAATATATTTGTCATCTTGGCCGTCTCTGACGTCACATTCACCAGAAGCGCTTAGCTGGAATTGTTCTGTTGTTAAATCTGGAAAAGAAAAATTGCATACTTAAGTAAAAGTGATACGTCATATTGCATACATAAATAAAAGTGATACGTCATGTTGCATACATAACAAAAAGAGATACGTCATGTTTCATGCATAACTAAAAGTGATATGTCATATTGCATACATAACTATAAGTGATATGTCATGTGTATACATAACTAAAAGTGATATGTCATGTTGCATACATAAATATAAGTGATATATCATGTTGCATACATAACTATACGTGATATGTCATGTTGTA